GCCATTCACCTAGTCTTACCCCTGAAATGGGAGGCCTATTGAGTCGGCGAATTTGAGTCATTCTCACCCATAAAAATCTAAGGATAATGTCGAATAAACAGGAGTTCATGGTTAGCTCGGGATTAAAATCGAGTTACCTAGGTCATCGAATGAAAAGAAAATCAGTCTCAGCAGTAAGCGACATTATAAAGTGAGAGTGATTTTCTTCATGGTCCGATCTTATGCAATACTCATTGCATAGTTCAAGTAATCATACTATAGTCAGAGTGTTCTTAGTTTATTGAATTTAGATTAATAATCGTAAAGTTCACTTTATTCAATAACAATCTAAACTGAATAAACAATAATAATAACTTTATTGAAAATAAAATATGTTTTTGTTTACAAACTATGAGTTTTAGGACATAAAACCTAACACAAGATACATGGGAGGTGGTCGAACAAGGGTTCAAGGAACCAAAAGATACTACGGGTTATACAACGACACAAAACAAGGCGTTAAAAGATTGTCAGTGCAACTACTACAAAAGAAGCGTGGGGCACTTTAGGAAAAGTGTTCAAAGGAATCGATCGAGTCAAGAAAGTGCGTCTTCAAACTCTTTGTGGGGAGTTGGAGAGCATGAAGATGAAGGAGTCAGAAAGTGTATCTGACTACATCACGCGTGTACCGACTGTGGTAAACCAACTCAACCGAAACGGAAAAATGTTAGCTGAGACACGGGTTATGGAGAAGATTTTGAGGTCATTAGTTGATAACTCTCCAAAGTACAGTTATATCAAGTCTTTTTATAGTTAATTTTGCACTCATACTCACTATTTTCTCATTAATTGCTTCATTTATTCTAATTAGTATACATGAAATAGTCAATTGTGGTTTAATATAAAAAGAAGTTCGATTTGCATAAATCGAGTTTAATTGTATACTTAATTGAGTTATTTGGTAAAATTCCAGAACATTCACATTGAACCATGATGTTGTAGCAAATCTGGAAACAACACTGCTTGCATCTGGAAATAAATTGCTAACTCTAATGCTGAAGCAATTCAGAACGCAAACTTTTTGGGGATGACATGGAAATTTTAATCCACATCAGCAGTCCACGAGGGTCATTGACTACCAAATAAGAAACATCCTATGTGGACGATTTTATCCTTTCTTAGCCCTAAATGAGAAGAAAAAATCATTATAAAAGGAAAAGGATACATAAAAAAGGGGAGCCACACTTTGGGAGAAAAATTGGATTAGACAGCAACAGCCTCTGCTGCAGTGAACTGTTGTGAAATCAGAGAAGAAGAAGAGAACCTTAATCTAGCAATTGTTGATAGTAGAAGGAAAAGGAGACCAATAAGGATTGATTAGGGAAAAGAGGTGGACGTGAGAGCTCAAGGGAAGGGAACTTCCATTGACGAGCGACAACATACCGGGATAACTCTCTATTTCCTTATTCTCTTTTCTTATTCCATTAATTTTACATGATTAAAATGCGGATTCCTCAGTTTAATTCAGTTTGTATAGAGCTAAACTTTATAGGGGAGGCGAGAGAGTTTTATATAGTTTAAGTATGTTGACGGTATAATCTTAGTTTATTAGAGAGTTGCAGAAGGAAAAAGAGACCAACAAGGATTGGTTAGGGCAAAGAGGTGGACGTGAGAGCTCAAGGGAAGGGAACTTCCATTGACGAGCGACAACATACCGGGATAACTCTCTATTTCCTTATTCTCTTTTCTTATTCCATTAATTTTACAT